ATATGCTATTTGTATAATAAGTAATAATAAGAATATCCCTATTGATGACTTAGGGATAATCCGATTGGAAACTGGATTTTAATAAATTGATATCAATAAGAATAACCCTATTGATATCTTTATAACACCCCGATTAGAACCTTATTGTATCCTATCTGCGCCATTAATCGTCATCAATCGGGATCACCTGATTCTAAAAAACAAAAAAATAGGGGACCAATCAGGTTAAATCTGGCAACTCAGATTTGACCCGATTGGTCTCCTATTTGTTATTGTTCGACTAGTGCAGGATTTAGCGATAAAATACTAAATCGAATAGCAGAGACATATCCCAATATTAAGTATCTCAATTTGCAAAAGGATGAGTATATATCCTGTAATATGAGCATAATAACTAGTGAAGGTTTATATGCAATTGTCCGATCATGCCATAAATTAGAATATCTAAATATTTCTCATCACATAGATATTTGCGAATTATTAATTTTTAATGTTTTTCATTCTTGCCAAAGGCTCCAGCAACTCAACCTTAGCTTTTGTAAAATTACCAAATATAACTATCGAAGCAATTGCTAGTTCGTGTATTAATTTAAAGTATCTCAAATTGGAAGAGTATGATAATGTTAGCAAAGAAGCCATAGATCAGCTGGTTTTCTCACTTAGTCCAAATATTCATGTTGAGAATTTCATGTGTACTATAACACCAGCCTCCTTTAGTGTATATCCCAGAATGTATCATCTGTCGAGAAGACTGAGAATGATAGTTGATACATCAAGAGATGTTAAGACCATATATAAATATGTTAAAAATGAACTAATGAGGAGAAGGGACATTATTAGATCAAGCATTAAGGTTCTGCAAACGATCTGATCTGGAGGGATTTTTTCTGATCCTTCATATACGTATGATAAAAAAATGTAAATTAGCTAACCTATTCTAGGTACTGATCAGTGCTAACCGAATTTTCTACGAAAACTTCATGCTATTGTTGGAAGATCTTCAGAATTAACAAAAGCCCTCTCAGTAAAATATACCATTTTTACTCTCTAGATCTTCTAGGGGAAAATCTGAACATATAAAGATATGCTATTGCATTTTTATCGGCTTCTAATCCACTTATTTCTTGATTAGTATAACTGACAATACCAAGATAATCTTGAATTATGCTTATATCCTCTTCTAAATATAAAAGTAAATGATAAATTTCCCCAAGTGATATTTCCCCAAATGTTACATTCATAAGATCTTGCATATTTTGATGTAATATTGTAAAGATAGAGTGACCACAGATATCAATTTCCTCCAGTATTGGTTTTAATTCCTTCATCAAATCAAACAACAGCCCAAATGAATCTTCAAGTGTTTTTCCTTTCTTGCTTTGATTCAATGCTGTTTGATTTATATTATCATTAATAGATGCTCTCTCTGAGACCGCCATACTGAATTTTCTTTCGGCTAGGCGTTCCTGAATAGCTATTATATCTTTCTTCTTATATAAAAGCAATTCATATAAAAACTCTTCATGTGGCTCATAATATAATTGAGCGTCATATTGATCAGAATTATTATTAGTATTTCTTGTCATGATTGTGTTTATCTTTAACTAGTATATATTCAATTTTGTGTCTGAAATACTGATCATCAACCAGAGCAGTGATCTTCTATTTAAAAGAATTTGCTGAGTCACAGATTGTGCGACAAAAAATAGGTGGATCACCAGACAGGTTTGTGTGACATATTATATATATTCAAAAAAGAAAACATGTTAACCTTTATTCTTTATTTTTCCTGAACAAACATGAGAAAAATGTGAAAGGAGGTCTACACACAACATAGGACAAGCTCTAAAAGTAAATAGTGATGGTAAAAACATATGTTGTAAAAAGGCTGGGAACTTTGTAATTTTGAGATCGTCAGATGTAAGACCAACTATGTGTCTTTCTGGTAGATCTCCATGTGAAAAAATATGAGGATTCCATTTGCATGTGTTTTCATAGAGCTCTTGGTATCATACGACAATACTAATTATGCTTTATACCTTCTTAACTTTTTTCCAGCAAGATATAAAGCATGTAGCGGTATGTGGAAGTTCAGCTAACTTTCCTGAAAAAATTACAGATAAGTAAATTATTTTATTATATACAGTCATACCTCTCTATAGCGAATTTTTATATAACGAATTTTTGGACAACTATATTAAATTTACCCTCGTTATAACGAACTAGCCAATCAAATTCTTTAAAAAATTCACTATAGCTCTATAGCGAAGTTGAAGTTCAGGACATAAAATTCGTTATATCAAGGGTTGACTGTACTTATAAAAAAAATGATTCAAAGTATTCTTGCATCTATATGAACGAAATTTTATTCACTATGGACCTCTATATTTAGGAAAAGTAAAATGCCAGAAATCAGACTTAATTGTCTTGTTGTTCCTAGTAACTGTCCAGTCGAGAAAATTACACAACATCATATCATTACAATCAAAATTGATAATATCGAATCTTTCCATTCGCTCAGAAAATAAATTAAAGAAGAACATTCACCTCAGTTTAATAATATTATAATTACTGAATTTGTGGTTCATACGATTGATTTAAATTTAGATAAAAAAGAAGCATTAATTAACACTGAATCAGTAATGAATAGTATACAAAATAAGATTAAGATAGAAAGTGAGCAATTCCTAATATCTAATATTCTTAAGCATTTCACTGTTCAGCCTTCCAAAAAAAATATTCACATTATAGTATATTTAGATATTCAAGCATCTCAGTAAAAATGTAATAACGATATATTCGCAATTTTTTATGTATTAGTTACTTTGGCAACTTTTTTTTATTTCTTAAATAAAGCATATATTACATAATCCCGTTCTTGTCATAAGTCTTGAAAAATGTTACATATAATGATGTAATATAATCGCCTAATAATCCTGTACTACATTTTAATTGCATATATATTAGGCAAATGCATTATGAATTGATACAAAAAAATTATCATTTCTACCTGAGCGCTTTACACCGGAAACCAAAAATACTTTTATCTATAAACCAGCTTTACCTGTAACTGCAGTCGAGTGCATATTTTTTTCGCAAGCACAAACTCATATATATAAAACCCATGTCTTCACAAGCTTCTTTACCTGCTTCACCTGCCTCAATAACGGAAGAAACTTCTACTAAAACAATGTCAGACATGGTTAAGGATTTTAATACAAAAGAGCTTATCGAATATTTGGGAAGGAAAGACCTGAAGCTCAAGTAGTCTCACTTTAACATTTTACATAAGGAAGAAATCACTGGTTTTGCCTTCCTTGAGTTAACTGAAGAAAAATTTCGCAGTATTGGCTTTACATTAGGGTCAGCAACAACACTTGCAAAATTTATCAAAGGTCTCAGTCAGAAATTACGAAACTATTTCTTGCTCAAAACTCTTGATGATTTGAAGGAGATGTTACGTAAAAATAAGGTCAATGGTGAAGATATAACAAGCATTAAGTAATTTACTTCTGGTGAGTGATTATTTTTATTTTACACCTGCTCTAGAATGGTCTATCATAAATATAGTAATAACTGCTTATTTTTCTTCATAGTCTTTGAGGAGATTAATGACGATAATAAAGCTCTCGATTATTGTATGGAGGACATTATCTTGAAACTTTCGAATGTGAAGACTATGACTGATGCTAACAAAGTAACACGCTGTGAATTTATTTCAGCTATATTACATGCATCAATTGCTATAGCTAAAAATCTCACCTCACAAGATATATTCATAGTTTTGCAAAAAGACATTTCTGGTAAAGATGCGACAGGTCGAGTGAACTACATAATTAAAAGTCTGGAAGAGTTCCTCTGTATCACCAAAGGGAAACCATGTAATATAAAAATTGGATATGCTCAAGTAAGTCTGCTTATCCTCCTAGAATATTGTTTTTAATGAAAACAAAGTCGCTCAGACAAAGGATGATGTATTTTATCTCTTAGAATCTGGCACAACTTGAAAGTGTGTTTCAAACAAATAAGAAAAAATGAATTGCAGATCAAGCATTTAATGAAGATTACTTTGACTATCTTTATGGCATTATGACTATAGAGGTGGAGTGGCAATTTATTATATATACTCAGGACGGTATTTACTGTACAAGTGGTAATGAATACCAGATTAATCTCATGAAATCTGCCATCAAAGAAAATCCCGAATTACTTTAAAGTAATGTGAAAAGGGTAATAGGTATAATTATTGGGCTACTAAAAAATAGGGTTAGTGTTGGTAGTTCCCCAACTAGCAAGAGAGTCAGAATCTAAAAAAATTATCAAAAAATAATAGCATAGATGTTATATATTATGGGCGCAGTTCCGAACATTTGTAATTAATTTTTCGCATGTATTAATAAAATTTTTTTCTTGGCAAATTTGCGGAATCACGTGATCTCAGAAAATCACATAAAATTTTTTATTTTGAATACTTATATACAGTTTATTAGTTATACATATAAATCATGTCATTTGAGCTTGAATTATTGAAACAACGTATCACTGAACTTGAGGCTGAGAATGCAGAGCTTAGGATAGAGAATACTGAGATCTCCTATCTTAAAAACAAGCTCTCAGTGTCTGATGCTAAAATAGCTGAATTTAAGCATAGGAATAATGAGTTTCTAAGAGTGAATAAGGAATATAACGAGAGACGTGATGCTGAAAATTCCAAACTCAAGGCTGAGAATGTTGAGTTTAGAGATAGACTCACGAAAGTGGAATAGAAGCAGACTCTGCAAAGTGCCTTAATGGCAAATGATAATTCTTCTAACAACAGTTTACCTAGCTTCAATTCAGTTGCAGTATCAGAAGCAATAACAGTACCTACTAACTCTGCGAAATGCCTGTGAAATGCCTTAATAGCTAACAGCAAATCATTAGAAGAGAAAGATATGTATAGTTTCTTGCTTAAGTCTCATAAGAAAATCATTAATAGTAAAATAAAGCAACGCAATAAGAAGAAGAAGAATAAAAAAAATGGGCAGGAATTGATTCAAGAAATCTCTTCATCTATGCCCCAAAAAAATCATGTGACTAAAATTTCTGAGACTGCACGGTCTCAGAAATCTGATAATTTGGACACATTAGTGTTTTCATTTCATGGGACTAGTATGATAGAGATATCTCAGCATTTGGCCCAGTTATGTAATAAAGCACTTATTGCAAAAGAGCACAGATTGGAAGCAAATCAAGAAGAAATATTATGTTGGTACCACTATAGAAAAAATTTTGTATTTCAGTTAGAGGCCTTGTGTGATAAAAATAAAATTGGTGAAAAGAAGGCAAGAGGTCTAATATATGAGAGGCGGTCAGTAGAAAAGGGGGAAATCCAAAATTTTTGTTAATTTTAATTATTAAGCTAATTTTGTGCAC